TCCTGTTTGAAACCAGAGTTGGCAGTCCTGGGCTAGATGCACCCAGGGGTGTGTGTGTCGCGTTAGAAGGCAGCGTCCTCCCTTGCTGTGCAGTTGTCACAAGACGTAAGCGTTGGTGCGGGTGAGCGCCGCAGTGCCTCTTTCCCTGTCATTGAACCTCGGCAGTGGCGGGTCCTTGCTTTCCTTCTGGATACAATTCAGAGTTCAGGTTCCCACCGACGAAGACCTTCAATGTCTTCTGCCCGCTTCTTTTGTGAGCTTTCTGGGTGTTAGGATTAGTCTCTAGGGTGGAGTGGGCTCTTGTGCCTCGTGCTAAGAGACCAGACCTTCTCTCCTCTGACACTGTGCCCTTGTTTTCCCTCTTCAGTGTACGTTAGGTGATTTTTTTTCCCCATTGCTCTGGACCGGACAACAGTGGCTGTGGCTGGGTGGGGATGATGGTAGTTGTAGTCCAGCCCCTTCTGGCAGGGGCCAGGTTGGTTCAAGAACATCTGGCCTAGCCCTTTTAGACTTTCTTATGACATTTTATTTTACGTTACTGCTCTGATGTGACATAATTACATTTTTACCGTCAACCCCTCAGGGCTTAATTTTCCCTCCTTTCATTCTGTATTTTCTTGTGGGTTGAACTTCAAAGTGTAAACTGATGGAAGTGGGTGCAAGAGAGAAAACTGTAAGAAACAAATGAATAGAAATAACTGAAATTCTGAAAAGACTGCTTCCTTTAGTTGCATTCCTTGGTCACCCTTAACTGTCAGGAGCAAACGAAGCCACAGGGTAGAATTTTGAAAGGCTTTTCCAGTTTTCTAGCATTTATCGGTGGGGTGATGGTGGTGGGTCGTCTCTGGAATTCAAGTACAGCCAGTTTCTCGTTTTCCTACCTATTTCTGTATTGGATTTCAAATTAAAAAAAAACTACACAAACCTCGGCACACTTACTTGTACACATTTCTACACACGCTTTTGCATGGACTTTTGTGGAGCAGCTTACTTGAATTCGGGGAGGTATGATCAAGAAGGCACAACCGGATTCTGTTTCCTATTTGGGTTCAGGACGTAGGTCCTTGTGGAGTTTGCCCTGTAATACAAATTTCATCCTGCATTTAAAGAAAGGAAGGGAAAAGGACTCCTCGCTCCCCCCGCTGGCAGTATCTCAGCTGAGTCCTCTGCCTCCTACACGGAGGGCCTGCCAAAGAAACCAGAAGGCGGCCTGCAAGAGAGCCGGACACGGGCTTGGGGAGCTCCGCTCCTCCCTCCTCCCTAGGATGGGTTGGGTGAGGCTAAAGGTCTGAAGGATGCTCTCTGGAACAGGCCAAGGCAGTGGGCCTCAGAAAAGTTTTTCGAGCTTTCTGGTTTAGTCCCCGAGGTTGAACCAGGTCGTGATTTACCTTCCTGGGTCTGAGTTTGGTCTCGGTCTGAGGTCATCCCTTCTTTCTCAGGGGACTCTGGACTCAGACGGCCGCCGTCCCCCGTCTCCGTGTATCTCTTCCCTGGGGAGAATGGCGCCACGGGCAAGGCCAAGGCCGCGGCTCCGCCACCTGCCTCCGTGGGCGAAGGTCTGGATTTCAGCCCTTCGGAAGACAGCGAGGGCGAGAGCGAGGCTACCGACGACTTCTGCATCTTGGACGCTCCGGGCACCGGCATTCCGGTAAGGGCCTCTCCCGTCGGGAGCGGAGCAGCGCGGCTCTGCTTTTCCTCTCCCCTGCCCTTTCTTTGGATTTGGCAGGGCTAAACAGCCTTGCCTGGCAGCCTCTCGAGGTTGCAGAGCAGTGGACCTGCGGGGAGGCTGTCGTGCAGCCTGGGAACGATTCATTGGCACGGAGCTGGCTGGATAGCTCAGGGAATTAGGTCTCTGGCAGGGGAGCCAGCAGTTGGGAGTTCGATTCCCCCACGGGCTCTCCTGAGAGAGAAGAGCCAGCCTGGGTGGCTTCGGGCAAGCTGCACAGTCGCAGGCTGCCCCCCCTCAGCAGTGGACCTGCGGGGAGGCTGTCGTGCAGCCTGGGAACGATTCATTGGCACGGAGCTGGCTGGATAGCTCAGGGAATTAGGTCTCTGGCAGGGGAGCCAGCAGTTGGGAGTTCGATTCCCCCACGGGCTCTCCTGAGAGAGAAGAGCCAGCCTGGGTGGCTTCGGGCAAGCTGCACAGTCCCAGGCTGCCCCCCCCCTTGACCCCCCAGAAGAAGGGAATGGGAAACTGGTTCTGAGTATTTTCTGCCTGAAAAACCCAGAGAAAGGGTCACCATAAGTCAGAGTGGACTTGATGGCACACAATTATTATTTATTATAAATAATGCATTGTCAGTAATGTAGTTATCTGCAACTATATATCTTTTAGGGTGACAAGGGTGTAACATTGCATTTCAAATTAACTCAGTGAATGAAAATAAAGTTACTTTATTACTGTACTAACTACTTTCAAGGGCTGTTTTAAAAGGACAACTTAAGGCATTTTAGGATAGTATTTTTTCAAGTTCTATGCTGAAGTTATGATTTTCTTATCAGTCATGGGAGTTGGGGGGGTTTTCTGACAGAGAAAAATAGGAAAAAGAACCAAAACAGACAGTAGGAAGGAATTTTCTCAACAAGTAGCGGCGACTAAACTACTTGTCATAGGATGTAACAAGTGATGAGAACAAATTTATTTTGGAACCTCCAAAGTTAGCTGCCCGAGGTATCTGTGAATCACCAGGTAGCCATTATTGTCTGTATCTGGACAGCCATTTCAGTCAGGACAGGAAAACGAAGGAAAACCCTCGCAAAAGGGAAGGACTGACCCACAGCAGTCACGGATGAGGGAGGAGAGGACTTGGGGTGTCCCTGTGCCTGTATTTCCTTGTTCTGTTCTGGAAGGAGTCCCCCCCCCCTGCATGTTTCCATCCCAAGGGGACAACAGAAACCCACCCTCTCTGTCTGTCCGTCCACCTGCAGCCCCGGGATGGCGAGCCCGTCGTGATGAAGCTGTTGGATGGGCCCGTCCGCGTCCAGGAGGGCCATTTTTCTCGTCCCCTGGGCAGCACGGACTTGCTGAAGGCTCCCTCGCGCTTCCCGGTGCCCGAGAGCCGCGTCGTGATGCGGGAGGTCTCGGTGGTCTGGCATCTCTACGGAGGCAGAGACTTCGGGCCCAGTCGATCGGCTTCGGGCCACGCCCATTCGCCCAGGTGAGTCCCCGCCACCCCCTCCCTGTTAAGCTCCGGGGTCTCGGCTGCCTGTGCGGGCCTTCTGTGGGCAGTGTGGTTCACGGGATTTCTAGCTGGCTGTCTCCGTTCCAGCGACAAGAGGAGCTGAGCATCACGAAGAGCGATATAAATAAGAAGGGCAGGTGACAGAGGTGGGAATGGGGGCAAAGAGGGGAGGGAAATGGTTTTGAACAGAAACCAAAGTCTGAATGGATACGGGTCTCGGCTGCCTGTGCGGGCCTTCTGTGGGCAGTGTGGTTCACGGGATTTCTAGCTGGCTGTCTCCGTTCCAGCGACAAGAGGAGCTGAGCATCACGAAGAGCGATATAAATAAGAAGGGCAGGTGACAGAGGTGGGAATGGGGGCAAAGAGGGGAGGGAAATGGTTTTGAACAGAAACCAAAGTCTGAATGGATACGCTTCCACAGGATCACCCAAGGGCTAAGATGGTAGGCCACGTGGGGGAGGGAAGGAAGAAGAAATCCCCCCAAACCAGGACAGACATCATGGCTGTTCTGCTTCAAAGCGAGGCCAAGAGAGCAACGGGTGCCTGGAGAAAGGAGTCCAGGTGTCCCTCGGTGGTGGGTCCCCTGCAGAGACGCACCAAAGCTGGACGGGACTCTTCCAAATCTATCTCTTGCCCTGGCTTTAAAGCAGGGAAATGGGGGCCACAGGTATGCTCCAAAAGCAGGAGCTCACGCTTGGGGTTAAAGTGCCGTTTCATTAGAAGCTTAAAGAAAGGTCAGTGGGTCCGTCTCCACCTAGAGAGCCAGCTGCGGAGTACTCGAGCTGGCTGATGGGCTTTGTTGCTTCTGCCTTCCTCCTCCTCCTCCTCCTCCTCTTCTCAGCTTCAGAGCAAAGCC